GGGGGGGGGGGGGTGGTGAAGGCGGACTCGGGAACGTTTAACAAGCAATTGAATGAAGAGGAATTAATTTGGGACTTGGACAGAAATGCCCTCGTGGCAGAAAATAATCACACCTCGCTGTTCCTTAAATACATAATTATTGTCGCTTCCCTCAAAGCTATGAAGGCGAAGGCGAATTCAAGCAAAATCTAGTGCTACTTTCTATAGTTTATTTTCGATAGGAAAGGGACAAATATGACTCTTTTTCTTTTGGAATATGAATCTTAGTGAATAAAGATACATCGGAATTTGTGCAAAGTAAAAAGAGAATGAGAGTTTGGATTTATTAACAAATATCAAGCTTCTTAACTTTTTTTTTACACTACGTGTCAATATGATGTTTATGTTATAAATATATTATATTATGAATGTTCATTTAGTACCCCGCTGTAAATAAACTTCCTGAAGAATCTTATCTATATGAGACTCCGCCGTAAATATGTTTATCTATTTAGTACTTTATTGGAAATAATCTTCCTGAAGAAGCTTATCCTTTCGGTACTCCGTTATGAATAAATATCACCCCGATAAAAGATTATTTATATTTGGTACAATAAACTTATCCTTTCGATACTCAGTTATAGATAAACATCACCCCCGGTAGAAGATTATCTATATCTGGTATAGTAGCAGCTTACACAGCAGCTTGCAGAAGCAGCTTACACATCAGATTCCTTTCTTATATAAATAAAAGAGATTTCAGTTCATTATGTACATAAGTTTGAAGTTTGAATAATATATCAGTTTCTCTATATACGTGTCTTTACTTTACAGTCTTTATTTTATAACACGTTATCAGCACGAGACTCTGCCATCTCGAGCCAATACTTTGAAAGTATCAGAGGTACGAACTTTCTTTTTCTAAATAATGTCAAATCTTTCTAAACTTGAATTTGTAGCCCTGGATATATCGGGCAAAAGTTACATGTCTTGGGTGCTTGATGCGATGGGTCTGGCAGACACCATCAAGGACAAAAATCAAGCATCAAACCAAGACCCTGCCAAAGCAATGATATTCCTACGCCATCACCTTGATGAAGGCTTGAAAATGAAATATCTCACTATTAAAGATTCAGTCATACTGTGGAATAATTTGAAAGATAGATATGACCACCTGAAGATGGTCGTTCTTCCACAGACACGTTATGATTGGACTCATCTAATGCTACAAGATTTTAAATCTATCAGTGAGTATAATTCTGCTATGTTCAGAATTATTTCCCAATTGAAATTATGTGGTGATAATATTACTGATCATGATATGTTGGAGAAAACTTTCACCATTTTTCATGCCTCGAATATGCTCCTGCAGCAGCAATATCGTGAGATGGGATTCAAAAAATATTCTGAACTTATCTCACATCTTCTTGTAGCCGAGCAACATAATGAGCTATTAATGAAAAACCATGAAAGTCGACTTACTGGTTCTTGTCCATTCCCTGAAGTGAATGAGATAAACTTCCACCAAGCTAAACGTGGAGGAGGACGTGGCCCTAGTCGTGGTCATGACCGTGGTCGAGGAAGAAACTCTAATCATGGTAATAATAATGCACCAAAAAACTCTCCTTACCACCAACAGTGGAAAAGAAAGTAACAAAAGCATGAAGTGGTGCAAGCAGCAAAGATAGAAAATGCATGCTATAGATGTAGAGAAAAAGGGCATTGTTCACGTACATGTCGTACGCCAAAGCACCTGGTTGAGCTGTAACATGCCTCCCTGAAGAAGACAGAAAAAATGCTGAAGCAAATTTATTTCTGAAGATAATTTAGACTTCATGCATTTGGATGTAGCTGATTACTTTACACTCCCGGAAGGAGAAACAAGTCATGTGATCGGTGATGAATATGTAGAAATGTAAATATTTTAATTTTTGTTGTTTGTAGTAGATAGCATGGTTATGTAATTGTTGTACATAAATAAAAGTTATGCTTTGATAATGATGTTTACTATCATATTTATTTTGTTTATGTCATTTTGAAGAATATGGATAATCCTCAAATTATGTTTGGATCAAAAACCAATCATGAAGATATTTTTGTAATTGATAGTGGAACAACTCATGCCATAATCAAAGATCAGAAATACATTTCTTATTTGCATAAGGAAAAAGCAAATATTTTAACAATTTCTGGTAATATAAATTTGATTGAAGGCTCCGGAAGAGCCACTATATTTCTGTCTAAGTGAACAAAACTTATAATAGATAATGCATTATTCTCCTCCAAGTCCCGAAGAAACTTGTTGAGTTTTATAGATATCCGCCGAAATGGGTATCATGTTGAGACGATAGATGAAATGAATATGGAATATCTTTGTATTACAAAGAATGTTTCTGGCCAGAAGTGCATTATAGAAAAGTTACCAACTTTATCTTCTGGCTTATACTATTCAAAGATTAGTACAGTTGAAGCACACTCTATCGTAAACCAGAAGTTTACTGATTCAAATATTTTTGTGCTTTGGCATGGCCGTTTGGGCCATCCTGGATCAATAATGATGAGACGAATTACTGAAAATTCGAGTGGGCATCCATTAAAGAACCTGAAGATTCTTACAAATAATGAATTTTCTTGTGATGCTTGTTATCAAGGCAAAATGATCACTAGACCATCACCAATGAAGGATGGCATTGAATCCCCTGCCTTTTTAGAACGTATACATGGGAATATATGTGGACCTATTCACCCACCAATTGGGTTGTTTAGATATTTTATGGTCCTAATAGATGCATCTTTAAGATGGTCTCATGTGTGCCTACTATCATCTCGCAACCTGGCGTTTGCAAAGCTATTAGCCCAAATAATTCGATTAAGGGCACAATTCCCAGATTATCCTATAAAGGCTTTTTGCCTTGATAATGCTGGAGAATTCTCATCTCAAGCTTTTGATGATTATTGTCTATCGGTTAGGATAAAAGTTGAACATCATGTAGCTTATATTCATACTCAAAATAGCCTTGCAGAGTCATTTATTAAACGTCTTCAATTGATAGCAAGACCATTACTTATGAAAACAAAATTACCCATTACTGTTTGGGCCATGCTATCTTGCATGCAGCATCACTTATCCGTCTCAGACCGACATATTATAATAAATATTCTCCGTCATAATTAGTTTTTGGTCATGAACCAGATATTGTCCATCTACGAATTTTTAGATATGTTGTATATGTGCCAGTAACACCACCAAAGCGCAGTAAAATGGGACCACAAAGAAGGTTAGGAGTATATGTTGGGTTTGAATCACCCTCTATTATTCACTATCTTGAACCATTGACGGGAGATTTATTTATTGCTCGATTTACAAATTGTCGGTTTGATGAAATAAATTTCCCACAATTAGGGGGAGAGAAAAAGGAAATCAAAAGAAAAATTGTATGAAAAATTTTATCATTATCTCATTTTGATCCACATACCCCTATATGTAAGCAGGAGGTCCAGAAGATCATCCATTTATAAAATATAGCAAATCAAATGCCAGACACGTTTACTGATTTGAAAAGGATAACTAAGTCACATATCTCTGTAGAGAATGTGCCTATCCGAATTGATGTCCCAACAGAACCATCTACTAGCATAAGAGCTAGTGAACCTAAAGCACGCCTGAACCGTGGTAGGCCTTTGAGTTCTAAGGATCGAAATTCTCGAAAAAGAAAATCGACAAATGATCAAAACGATACTATGAAGGGATCCCCTGAAGAGACCCAAGATCTGATTAGTTCTGATATTCATGAAGATATCAATGTACCCGAGGCTCAAGTGAGCGAGAAGCTTTTAATAAGTTCTACTGGTG